AAGACTTATAGGGAGATAATTTTGGCTTAGTATGAGGAGAAACATTCTGTTATTAGTGTCCAGTGAAATGAGCTTCTTGGGGAAAGTAAGGAATGGGTTCCTTGTCATTAGAAAATGTCTTAATGGCTCGGCGCCTATAGCTCAACCAGCTAAGGCGCCAGCCACGTACACCTAAGGTGGTGGGTTCGAATCCCCAGCCCGGACCTGCCAAACAACAATGACGGCTGCAACCAAAAAATAGCCGGACGTTGTGGCGGGTGCCTGTGGTCCCAGCTACTTGGGAGGCAGAGGCAGGAGACTCGCTTGAGCCCAGGAGTTGGAGGTTGCTGTGAGCTGTAATGCCACGGCACTCTACCCAGGGTGACAGCTTGAGGCTCTGTCTCAAAAAAAAAAAAAAAAGAAAATGTCTTAATAATAACAAAAAAAAAAAATTTTATAGTTCTGTGTCTTGTTTGGAACCAGAAAAGAGCCTGAATAGCCAAAGCAATCTTAAAGAAAAGAAGCAAATCTAGATGTATCACAATACTAGACTTCAAACTATACTACAAGGCTGTAGTAACCAAAAGCAGCATGGTATTGGCACAAATGTAGAAACATAGACCAATGGAACACATCAGAGAACTCCACGTACAACCAACCACAGATACAACCAACTAGTCTTTGACAAAGCAGACAACAGTGTATACTGGAGAAAAGGAGTACTATTTAATAAATGGTGCTGGGAAAATTGGGGTGTCATATGCAGAAGAATGAAGCAGGATCCATATCTTTTATCACTCTCAAAGATTAATTCAAGATGGACTTAAGACTTAAATGTAAGGCATGAAGCCATAAGCATTCTAGAAAAAAAGTAGGAAAAACTCTTCCAGATATCAGCATAGACAAAGAATTTATAACTAAGACCCCATAGCAACAACAAAAAAGTAAGTGGGACTTGATTAACAAAAAATTTCTGCACAGGAAATAATCAAAGGAACAAATAGATAACCTAGAATGGGAGAAAATATTTGCAAGTTATATGTCCAATAAAGGGCTAATAATAAGAATCTATAGAGATCTCAAGCAAACCAGCAAGAAAAAACCCAAACAACCTCATTAAAAAGTGGGCAAAAGACATAAATAGGAGCTTTTCAAAAAAAGATAGACACATGGCCAATTAACATGAAAAAATGCTCAGTGTCACTGATCATTAGGTTTATAATTAAAACCACAATGAGATGGCACCTCACCCCAGCTAGAAAGGCTTTTATTGGGTGGTGCTTGTGGCTCAACGAGTAGGGCACTGGCCCCACATACCAGAGGTGGTGGGTTCAAACCCAGCCCCAGCCAAAAACTGCAAAAAAAAGGGAAAGGCTTTGTTTGAAAAGTCCAAAAACAATAGAGAAAGGAATGCTTATACACTGTTGGTGAGACTGCAAATTAGTACAGCCTCTGTGTACTGCAATTAGTACAACACTGTGGAGATTCCTCCATAGTGAAAGTATATCTTACAATCAGATCCAGCAAGACCACTGCTGAATATTTACCTACAGGAAAAGAACCCATTTCATCAAAAAGATACATGAACTCAAATGTTTATTGCAGCGCAATTCGTAATTGCAAGATGTGGAATCAACCCAACTGCCCATCAATTCATGAGGGGCTTAACAAAATGTGGTACGTGCATACCATGGAATACTACTCAGTCATAAAAGGGATGAATTAATGTTTTCTTTTTTTGGCAGCAATTTGGATGGAACTGGAGGTCATTGTCTTAAGTGAAGTAACTAAAAAATGGAAAAATACCACATGCACTTGCTATTAAATTGGAACTAAGAGATGAGCCCATGTGCACAGTGGGAAGTGAAACTCAGTGGAAATCAAGCAGTTGGGAGGAGGGGATGTGTGAAAACCTACTTAAGGGGTACTGTGGGCACTATCTGGGTTATGGACACTTACAACCCTGACTTAAGCATTACAAAAGTGAGCCATGTAACAAAAACATTTGTATTATAATATTTTGAAATTTAATAAATATTTCTAAAATAGAAAAACAATACAAGAAAAAAGAATAAATGAAGGGAAAAATGTAAAATATCAATGTAAAATATCAATAGTATCCATGTCAGCATCCACCAGATCTTCTGTGAAAGAAATTCTGTGCTGTACCAGATGTCCTCAGGTGCTCTGCAGTTCTTAGATTCTATGACTGCCTCACCACTACTGATGCTAGGGTGTGGCTCCTTCTCCAGTCTAGGTTTTGCTTTACTGATTTATGTGATTAGTTTTTATATTCCTAAACATGCAGTATCCCAGAAAGCTGTGATGTGGTGGATGAAAATGTCTTACATTGATTTTTTAAAAATAATTCATAAAGTGTATATATGTATACCATGTACACATACATACTTAAACATACTCATTTGTTTATACAATCGAGAGTCATACATTTTTAGTTTTGTTTTCTGTTCCTGTTGTTATAAAATATCAAGCTTTATGCTGTAGAGATCTCTGAGTATCATAAGGAAATGTCTTTCATTTTATTTTTATTTATCAAATTGATTTTTGAAAAATACAGCTCTCTTAAGTCCTCAAAATAGACCTGACAAAGAACTTCTGTGGAAGTAGGAATTTAAAAACTGATGGTTTTATTGTGAGATTATTTGAGATAGATCTATAAATAAAATAGTATGGACATTCAATTAGTGTCTTAGATATTTAAGAATAGGAAGTGGGAGCACTATGGTCATTTTGGAAAATTGTGTTTTCAGACTCACTTAGTAATTGGATTGTTGAGTGCTGTATTAGTGGTTTCAAATGGCATTACAATTCATTGCAATTCTGACCTGGGGTAATAGATGTAAAGTAAAATGAAATCCATCTTCCTGAAGAACTACTAGTTATATGAAATGATTAAATATGATTTTAAAATAAAGCATTAAGTGCAAACCACTAAGAGTTCAAAAAATGCTTATGGGTTCCATGAAAGATGATTGAATACATTTAGCTTTCAAACAGTTTGCTCATTGTGGATACAATGCCTTTATATTGATGAAAGTTATCATGCCAATAAATTAATAAAATAGGGGAAGTTACATATCTTCTCTTTGAAATAGACCCATCCTTTAGGGACAGAGAGTTCTCTTTCAGGACAGACTTTTTGTTAAAGTGATAAGGCTTCCTCTAAATGTTTGATCTCTTAAGTCAGTGGAGAAATCCTTTCTAGGATGAACCTTAGTTCAATGTAGGTGTTATTAAAGCTTTGATTTGGTATTGTGAGGAGGAAGAAACTCATCATGCTGGGAAAATTTCTCTGGTGACAAAGATGCAAGTTATCTTATATGTGGATAAATATATTTCTGAGCATTTATGCAGAAATATCACAAGATGTGAACAAGAAAACCATGCAACATTGTGTCTATCAGTTTCACAAAGCTTTCTTAGGAAAATGAGCTGAGTTAAAATAAAGCATCTGAGGAGGTTTGGGTTAAGTTTGGCTCCAGGGGAGGAATGTGACTTGATGGGGAGGAAGGAAAAGGCATTAAAGGAGGAAGTTGGAGGGATGAGTGAAGGAGCAGATAGATTCCTCTGCTTAGCTGAGGCTGCATGTCTGAACTTGTAAGTAGAGGGAAATGTCAGGGATAATGGGGTAAGGGGAAGTAGGGTAGGTGATGGGAACTACAGTGCCTTTTTCATCAGACCAGCTTGCTCCCAGACTGGTTACAGCTGGGAAGACAAAGCCACCTTGAAATGGTAAAGATGATAGCAGATAACCTGTGATGAATTGTAGCTGGAATTCAGAGAGGAGAGACTTGTAGCTACCAGATCCAGGGCAGCTTCTGTGAACCAAGTTTTAGGTTAAATAAGCAAGAGCACTCTAAGTGAGGGAAGAAGAGCATGCTAATGACCTTCTAGTAAGAATGGACACTTGGTAAGAATGTGAGGAGATAAGCAGTGAAATGAGATTTCAATTCTAGGATGCTTTTTATAAAGCATGTGGCCTTTAACAAATCACTTTTCTTCTTTGGCTTTTATTTATTTGTTTCATTTATTTTAAATCATTTAAATTCATATTTAATAGGTTACTCTTAAATTAAAAAATGTTCATCTACAAAAGGGATAAAAATATATGCTTTGCTTCCCTCATAGTTGTTGAAAACATTACAGTGTCCTTTAAGAGACCTTTTATTTCTGAGATTCTTATTCCAGGAATTGAACTAAAGTGTTTGAAAATAAATGGTAAAGTAGGAATACAAATATCTATTGGTGGTGACATTTGGTATTTAGTGTATAGAGACTATGTAAATGTGTGTCTATATAGTGGCAACAAAAGCTGGAATGAAAGATTTAGATTTGATGTAAAACCTATACCAAATATGTGATGGCTCCTAATTGCCTCACTCATAAAATTCATACTCTAGCTGATCTGTTGGGGCCTGCTAATTTGTAGTGGTTATAAAACAGACAGACGTGGTTGAATGACATACAGTTTTGAAAGAACTATCAAAATTCCTTCACTGAGAATAAGGAGTAAAAAGGATTGGCAATGGATGTAATTTTGTGATTTCCAAGTCTTCAGTACCATTTAAAAGACAACATTGAATAATAGTAACTTCAAGGGATTATACTCATTGTTTCATATATATTTGATTTGATTTGATTTGATTCTTATAGTAACTATCATTACCCCCATTTTAAAGATAAGGAAACAGGGGCTTGGAGAATTTGCCTGATGTTACACACTCGTAAATGGCAGAGCTGGGACTTACTGTCTACAAGGTCTCTGCTTATGACTATTATTCTACATATTCTTTTAAAGTTTAATTATTTTGGGGATAATATAATAGTTGCACTTGGCACATAATTTAAAAATAAAATGGTGTCTAATGGAAAAGTCTTTCTTTTGTCCCTGTCCCCTTGACACCCATTTTACTTCCCTGGAGTCAAATAACAATGACTTCTTTCAGAGATGTTTTTTATGTGTGTGTGTAAATTAAATATGAAAAATATATGTATACATCCCCCTTTTAAAAGCACTCAGTGGGCCTTTTGCTAATGACCCATGGAGCCATCAAGAAAGGGCAGATTAACAGCACCACTTTTGGGTGAAGTGGCCGCATTTTGTTTTGTTTTACTTCAATCAGTGGTGTAACAAGATGTTCAAAAAACAAACAAAAAAATGTATACAGTATACGTACAGTATGTTATATATAAATTTCACTCCCGTTTTATACAAATGATAGTATATGATAGGTACTGTGTTGAACCTTGATTTTTTTGGGGCCTAAAAATGTCTTGGGGATTGTTCCAATTCAAAAAAAGCCAATTTTATTAAAAATTGCTATATAGTATTCTGTGGCATGGATGTACCACAATTTACTTAACTAGTCCCCTACTGAAGAGCATTTGAATATTTTTTAATACTTTGCTATTACAATGTTGTAATTCAGATAACTTTGAATTTAAGTTTTTTTGTACTTGCATATATTCACTGTATATGTTAAACAAAAAGCTAGGGCATTGCTAGGAGTATGGTAGGATTCACCCCAGGAAGAATTATGTTTTATTACTAATACAAAAGTTTTTTTAAAATCCCAAGTACAGGTGTGTGATAAATCATACATATGTCAGTAGTTTTCTATCAGCAGGGCTCCATATCAGGCATTGCAATCATATATATATGTGAGGGCTTGTAGATTTCAAAAATGAGAAAAGAGAAAGGTTATGGGATAGTTGACTGACTTGGAGTGAGAGATGTCTGTGTATGAGCAGACATTTACTCAGCAGAGTGAAACTTTCATTCCTAAAAAAAAATAACTCATTGCTGCATGAAAAGACTTCCCTGAAGAGGCACTGATGCGTTTGACCTTTATTAGAATTATGGTATGATTCTTGTTCAAGAAAGTTACCATATAAAAACGGTTATAATGGCTCTCTTTCCATTGAGTATATCCAGAAAATGGGCAAAAGGGAATTGTGAATATCTATATGTAAAATGAAGAAAGCCAAAGTAAGCTTTTATGTAAAGAACGTCAGAGCTGTAAGGTGGAATGGAGTGCAAGTGGTATGTAATCTTCATAGCTTCTGCATTGGTAGACTGTAAAGTGAACATGAAGGTAAATGTTAATCTTTCATGGTACTTTACATTTTTCTGTGTTATTGAGTGGGCAGTTACTATGTCCATGAGTGGTTCTAGATATTTAAAAAGAACGCATACAGTATAGAAAAATAAGATAGTTATATGCCCAGAGGAATAAACTCAAGGAAGATGAGATGGCAAAATCAAGAAACATGCCTAAAATTATTCTGCATATAGCCTGTAGCATAAATAGTAAAAATAAATGAAGTTTGTGAATAGTCATCCAGACTTTTGAAATTTTTATTAAGACTGAGTTTGATTTGCTCTGCTAATATCCTAATTTGTTAGTGATTAATTCTTGAAGTATCTTTGTTGATTTTTCTTTCTGGCTATTTTGTGTTTCTTAGATATTAGCTCTACAATCTATAGTTAATGACCTCTAGAATGCAGACAAAATCACTTTGATGAAGATTTTAAAATGTTTTATCCAAATTGTATAGTATTTGAGACATAATACTTGATTGCAAAAGAATAATACTACCATATTTTAGTAGCTGTATCACATTAGCTAATACAGTATATGGGTGGTGCACACCTGTAGTCCTAGTTACTTGAAAGGCTGAGGCAGGAGGATAGCTTGAACCCAAGAGTTTGAGGCTGCAGTGAGCTATGATTGTGCCACTGCACTCTAGCCTGGGTGACAGAGAAGACCTTATCTTTAAAAGAAAAAAAAGTATCCCTTCGCGCCCCACAAAATCCCTGAAATGTTAACATTGTTTAATTACAGAACATACACAGAAAGCCTGAAATTCTCGTTGCCTAGATTAGTGCGGTTGACTTACTTCCTTTCAGTAGCATAAGCTTATTTTTTGAGTCCTACTTTTATTTTTGTAGAGATAAGATAGTCACTGTATAGTCCAAGCTGGAGTGCAGTAGAATGACTACAGTTCACTGCAACCACCAATTTCTAGACTAAAGTGATTCTCTTGACTCAGCCCCCTGAGTAGCTAGGACTATAGGCATTTATTTCTGTGATTGGCCCGTTTAAAACAAATTTTTTATAGAGATAAGGTCTTCCTGTGTTGCCTAGGCTGGTCTCAATCTGTTGGCCTCAAGTGATTCTTCTGCCTTGGTCTTCCAAAGTTCTGGGATTATAGGCATAAGCCACTGTTACTGGCCTGAGCCCTCCTTTCAAAATAATGATGGTTAAAGTTCATTCATAGTCAGATCACAGATTGGGATTGCAGATGTATTTTATATGAAAAATGCATATTTTCTAGTTTTCCATCAGTGAGCCTCAGAGTCTTTTACTCTTTCTGATGAGGACTGTTCTTAAGTTAAACCAAAAAAGAGCATGTATAGTATAGAAAAATAATATAGTTATTTTTAACTATATTATATGGATCAGTGACTAGAATTTATTGAAAGCAGTTGCTTTACGACATTTTGATGCTTCCTGAGTACATACTTGAAATTCACCGTAGTTTTTGAAAACCTTATTTTGAGATAATTACAGAGTCACAACCAATTATAAAAATAATACACAGATCCTTTGTACTCTTAATCCAGTTTTCTCCACTAGTAATATCTTAGATAACTGTAATGTAATATCACAACCAGATAGCTGACACGAATAATAAATCCATACATCTTATTCAGATTTCACCAGTTTTATGTGGCGTGCAGTGGCACAATTGTAGTTTGCATGTACCTTCAAACTCCTGAGTATGGTGATCCTGCTGCCTCAGCCTCCATGATAGCTGTAGCTAGACCCACAGGTATACATTACCAGGCCCAGCTCATTATTTGTGTTTTCACTTTGTGTTTCCAATGCTCAGACTGGCATTTATACTTAAAATGTTATGAAGGAAATACATTTCATGGAATAGAAATGTGCCTCTTTTCTCATTTTCTAAGTCCATTTAAAAAAACTTGGATGATGAATTTTAATTTTTATGATGTCCCTCCTATGCATGAGTTTTGGTATATGCTTTTGAAATGATGTTTAGAGTGGTTTTGCTGAATTTAGGCAACCAATGGCTTGTTTAAAACATTAAAAATCCCCGGGGGATAGAGTAGTTTTTTTTTTTTTTTCCATGTCCTATTTAGAGTTGTTTGGAGTCATCCAGAGGTATTTTGTGAATTGATAAAACTCCAGAACATCTACCACTTGCTTTGTTTAATAGCATTACTGTTGGAGTTTGGTAGCAAATTTCCTGGTTTTGAAGCCTGTCTCTACCATTTATTAGCAGTGTGGCCTTGTACAAATTGTCTAACCTTTCTGTGTTTTGATTTCATAATCTGTAAAGTGAGAATAATAATGGAGCTTATTTCATAGAGTTGTCATAAGAATTAAGTGAGATGATGTCCCAAAAGTACTTACACCAGTTCCTGGCACATAAAGATATTTAATAAATGTTAGCTATTACTATTCAGTATGAGAAAGTTAATATCTGGTGTATTCACACATCAAGTGGTTGAAGTACAATTTGTGGCGCATATATATATATAGCCAGATAGATAGTAATATATCATAAAAATTTTATCTATAATCTGAAAATGGATTTCAGGTTTATTTATTTCCTCTTACAGCATTAGATGGTTTCATGAACATCAAATAGTTTGGAAAGTACTAAATGGAAATGAAATCTTGAAGGCCTTGGAACACGCTGTCTTGATTTTTGATTCTAATTTTTGTTTTGAATGAGAGGTCGTCTTAGAACATAGACAGTTTTTTTGTTGTCCATGCAAATTATGGTCACTACTATGAATTTCACAGACACTGGTTAAATGCTGATAGGGAGAGAGAATTAGAAGAATTAGGAAACTGCTGCTGTTTGTTTTCAATTCCCCTTCCATCCTCCTCTTAGAGGTCTGTCTGCATTTTCCCTGTTGTGGAGGCCTGATTTCTGTTTGCAGGCATCTGGCATATCATCCTACAAGTGTTTTCTATGCCATATGGAAATGTTGGTTTGTTATTGATTGGCTAACTAGATTAAGATAGTCTCCTTTTATCTCCCTTTCCATCCTGTAGTCCTATAGAAGACATTCTAAGCTTCTTAAGGCATGTACAGTACCCCATAAGGTAGTTTCTGCCACTCTTTTTGGCTTGTATCTATTGAGATGATCATATGGTTTTTCTTTTTCAGTCTTTTGTGATGGTAAATTACATTGATTTTAAAAGTTAAAAAACCAACCACACATTCCTAGGATGAACCCTACATTATCCTTGTTTTTATTGTGGTAACATATACATTTAAACAATTTTTAGTGTCCAATTCAGTGGCATTAATTGTATTCACAATTTTGTGCAGCTATCACCACTATTTCCAGAATTTTTCAGTATCCCAAATAGCAACTCTGTAATGTTAAGCAGTAATGCCCCATTTCTCCCTCTCTCCTCAGCCCCTGGCAACCTCTAATCTTTCTGTCTTTATGAATTTGCCTATGTTAGATATTTCATGTAAGTGGAATTATACAATATTTGTCATTTTGTGTTTGACTTATTTCACTTAGCATAATGTTTTCATGATTTATCCATGTTGTATCAGAGTTTTGTTCCTTTTTGTAGCCTAGATAATATTTCATTCTATGTATATACCACATTTTGTTTATTCATCTGTTGATGGACAGCTGGGTTGTTCGGACCTTTTAACTGTTGTAGACAATGCTGCAGTGAACATTGGTTTACAAGTACCTGAGTTTCTTCTTTCAGTTCCTTTGCATAAATACCTAGGAGTGGAATTGTTTGTCATGTGATAACTTTATATTTAGCTTTTTGAGGATTTGCCAAAATGTTTTCCACAACAGCTACACAAAATTTAAGTCCTAGCAACAATGGGGTGTATGAGAGTTGTAATTTTCCCTCATCTTCACCAATCCTTGTCTTTGACATTAAGAACATTTGAAGCCATTTCATTATTTTTTCATGTGTTGGAGGATTTATTTATTTAACCTTGTCACCCTTTTAGTAGAGTGCCATGGTGTCATAACTCACAGCAACCTCAGACTTCTGGGCTCAAGTGATTCTCTTGCCTCAGTCTCCCAAGTAGGTGGGACTACAGGCACCCATCACTAC